ATATATATATTTTGTTTGTTTTGTTTTGTTTTTGTTTTTGTTTTTTTGTACCAGGGATGATTGAACCCAGGACCTTGGGCTTGCGAGGCAGGCGCTGGCACCACTAAGCTAAATTCCTGGCCAGTGAAGGTGTATATCTTGAGGGAGATTAATGGCAATGTGTCTTATACTGTAATGATTTTTTAAAATTTAAACACACACTGTAGTTTTTGATTAGCTCTTATACATCTTTTTTTTTTTGGTACCGGGGATCGAACTCGGGTCCTTGTGCTTGCGAAGCAGGCAGCGAAACCACTGAGCCAAATCCCCTGCCCAGCTCTTATACATCTTGCTTTTATTTAAAGTAAAACCATCAGGCCGGGGATTTAGCTCAGTGGTTCCGGTACCTGCCTTGCAAGCGGGACCTGAGTTCGATTCCCAATACCAAAAATAAATAAATAAATAAATAAAATAAAACCATCTAAGATCACTGAATGTTATCAAACTCTGGTAGACTTGGTGGAAGAAAATGCAGTTAAATCCAAGGGATTCTTAAGGTGGGGTCAGTTAAATCCAGAGACAATACCAGCAACCAAAATAAAGCAAGGACGGGGACAGAGGACTTTTCTCTCAGTTAAGCTCTCCTAAGGAAAGATGGGCTTTTCCCTCTTGTCCACGACAGGGATGTTTACAGAGAGCTAGGGGAAGTCAGCACATCTGCAGATGCAAACCCCCAAAGGCTCGCAGAAATCACAACAAAACAGATGGCTCATTACTGACTCTCAGAAGACTCAGGTCAAAGGCCTTTGATGTAAAAATATACAACAGGTGTGTCTGGTACAACAGTAATTCTGGGCAGAAGCTGGAGACTGCTAGGTTGGTAGATTCAAGATGGTGAAATCTGCCTGTGACTTGTAACTAGCTTTCAGAGTTTTAATGATCTGAGTAAGATGTGGGGGCAGTTTTTTTCTTTTGAATGAATAAATTCACATGAAAATCAGGAAGTCAACAGATCACTGTCCTAATTCATTGACACAACTGTGATCATTTTTACTACAAACATCATTCCCTGGTATATTTTTCCTATTTCTGCCCCTGAAAAAATCCTCTTCCAGGGCTGGGGATTTAGCTCAGTGGTTCCGCTGCCTGCCTTGCAAGCACAAGGTCCTGAGTTCAATCCCCGGTACCACCCCATCCCCCCAAAAAAATCCTCTTCCCCTTTTCCCAGTTCTGTTTCTGTCTCTGCCAGATTTGACAACCACCTCCAACCTGCAAATGACCAGCAACAAGCACACTGTGGATGCTCACCCACCTCCTTGGTCTCCCATAGTTGCTTTGGCAGTGGCTTCGGGACATTTAACAGATTCTCTTCTTTCAATGGACCAGGGAATGACACTACTAGAGGAGGAGAAAGCAGTGTTATAAGGAAGCCATCTTACCTTTTGCCAAATAAATGATCTGTGTAAAAATAATTTACTTAGAAACATTTATTGACTGTTAGGAAGGTGCTTTGAGCATCTCGGAGTGGGTACAGAGATGAGTAAGACATGGATTGAACACGTAAGGAATTTATAACCTAGCCTAGGGCTAAGGGCAACACCATGGATGCCCAGGAGAGCCATGGGTCCTGTGCTGTGGTGGTGAGGGTAGCAAGAACCCAGGGAGGCTCTGGAGCCTTGGCACTCAGGCAGCCTTTTGGAGGCACAGAAAAGGGCATTCCAAGGGAGCTGAAAATAAGAACAGGACTTAGAGACAGAGGAAGTTGTAGGCAGCTATGAACAGAGCAGTGCTTTTCACTTGCATTGTAGGCCAGGGAAAGGGGATGGCAGGAATGAAATGCAGACACCTGAGGGCCTAGTCAGGGAGGACCCTGCAGGCTGGAGCAAGGTGTAAGGAGATGCACAGTGATCTAGGAGATCCAAGGAAGGAAGGGACAAAGGGAGAATGAGGTGAGCAGATGGAAGCCCTGGTGGAACTGCTTGAGGATGGGTGAGGATGGGGAATAAAGAGGAACTGACAACCCACTGGATTTGAGGCTAGACAGCAGAGAGGGGCTCTCAACACTGCCAAACAATCTGGCTTTCTGCTTTAACACGCAGGTTAAACATGGATGCTGAGCTGAGCCACAAATGTGTGAAAGCTTTTTGTTCTCAGAGATGAACCAGAAGACAAGGGCTGGATCTAATGTCAGGAGACGATTTGGCACCAGACACAGAGACTGTGCAGATCTAGGAATGCTGTTAGGGCCCAGGGACCATGTAGCCCCACAGTGACTGTCATCACTGTCCTGTCCTTGCCCCACATAGGGAGAAATCACTTAAAACATGGACTAGAACTGAATTCTGAGAAAGGGGCTTGAAACAAATGCTCTAAAGTAAGTTTATTGTCTATTTAAATAAAACATGGACTACAACTGCAACTGTGGACTCCTGGAATGAATGAAGTGTGGATGGGGGGACGGTTTTTCCAGCAGCACCTTAAGAACGTGACACAATGTTTTTCATGGGCAACTGTCCCGGCACCATCCCAATACGTGTTACTTGGCCACACTGTCCAGGCCCTTAATGTCCCCAGGCATCTCTCAATCCTGACCATCAAACCATTCTCTTGTTCTGCATTGGTGAGAATGGAACCGAGGGCCTTGAGAACCACTTGCTCTATCACTGAGCTACATCCCAGCCCAAATCACTCTCTTTTGAAGACCTTATTTTGTCAACATTTTGTTGGTTTTCTTTTCTTCCAATGTTATCCATGGTCTAATCATTAATAAAAACTACTTCAGAAATGTAAGCTCCATGTGGGCAAAGCCTGTTTCACGTCCCAGGGGTGTGTGTGTGTGCGCCTTGGAAATGCATACCCTACAGCTGATTCTCCTCGGAGTGGAGGCAACAGTAACAGGCACTGGGTCTGCCCAAACCAACATAATGGGAGACCAGGGAGAGAAAAATAGTATAGGCTCAGTGGTAGAGCACTTGTCTTGCCATGTTCAAGGTCCTGGATTCAATCTCCAGTAATGAGGCAAGAAGGGTGGGGAAGACTGAGGAAAGTGCCCTACAAAGTACTGCTAGATGCTAGGAAAAGTTTCAAGGGCTGAGTACGGGTAGCTTCACAACCCAGGGGTACTTCTCAAAAGAGCTTGGTTACAGGAATATGGTTGGGACAGGCTCCAGTGCCTTAACAGGAGTTGTTTTCTTTGAGAAATTAATTGTTTTTAGTTTCTTTTCATATCCGAGATTTGTTGCGAATTCTTCAAGGAATTCATTGGGGAAATGCAAATAAGCTTGAAACCATTTCTTTATGTCTGTCCTGGTGGATTAGATGTTTACTGATGTCTCAACGTTTCATGATTTTATGCAACACTTAAAATGGCTTGCTCTGAAATGGAGCAAGCAGTCAGTGACAGAGAACAGTGTCTCTTCTGTAAGCTCCTCATTTATCATATCTCTAGGAGCCTTATCCTTGTGACATAAACTTCATTTAGCTGTTCAGTTTCAGATTATGAAAATTAAATTTCAACATAAAAAGATTTAGGAAAAAGGAGAGTGCCTGGTACTGAATGAATAAATGAACAGTAGTGGATCCTCATTTGTCAACGGCTTTGAATATCATTTTGGCCGATCTCCAACATTATTTTAATTGGCTTTATGAAGCTCAGCACCTTCTGAAAATTTGTAATTCTGTTTTACATTCAATTTGCATTTTCCTTGCACTGTTTATTTAAATTTATTAATTACTAACTTACAAAGGCTTTCTAAGGAGGCAGAGGCAGAGTTGAGGAGAGAAGGATATTGGGGTAACTGTTTAAGTGACTGATTCATTCATATTTTAATATGGCTACAACTTTTGCTTCTCTGTACAACCATACGAGACTCTGGAGACTGGAATAATAGGAACCTTTATAACCTAATCAACCATTTCCTTTCTCATGGCCTTGATCGTAGCTAGCCTTAAATTTTTAGAGCCAGAAAAGTGACCCAATCCACAGCTATCTATCTTCTGGAGAGTTTTGAAAACATGAAGAAGGCTGTGCTCAGGAAGGTCAGCACCCCACCCCTAAGCAGGTAAGCAAAACCAGCTCCTACCTTCCCCTGGGCCATCATTCTCCCCATCACAGAAACCTATGGGAGGAAAAAAACACTGTTACACAGCTTTCATTTTCATTTATTCATGAATTCATAACTTTCTGATTTGAAAAAGGCTTTTGAAATTTATTTGAAAGCAGCTTGATACATCAAAGCTCATTCAAGGTGCTTTAATATTTTTATACTAAAAGTAGATGTAGATTTTTAAAAAATTCTTTTATTGGTACATTTTAGGTATACAACATGTTTACATTTATCATTGGGTGCTTGTACCTGTACATGATGTATCTTGGTT